CACACACACACACACTCACACGCACCCACACACTCACACACACACACTCACACACACACAGGACGGACAGGGGCTCAGCAGACACTGATGTAATCAGTGACCTTTGGATGTTCACATTTACAATAACACAGAATCGAGCTGAATTCATTTCCCTTTTCAGACACAGGGTGTGTGTGTGTGGGGGGGGGGAGGGGGGGGGGGTGAACTGAGGACAAATACAAGCAGAAAACAGCGACATGTAAAATAATGGAGGATTCATTCCACTGCTGCTTTACCTTCGCTCCTTCATGGAGGTGAAACACAACAAACAAGTCTTTATTTTCTTCACCTTCACTCGTGTCTCTGCGCCTGAAAGAATCGGACTCTGTCATGAAAGTCGAATCAATAACGTGGAGGAGAGACTAACGAGTCGTACGATGTGTGTGTGTCCGAACCACAACTTCAAAATGATTATTGTGACATTTGTCTGACGGAGGCTGAATAAAAATAAAGCACAAGTGAAGCGTGTGAGAGATTCTTCATCGAGGGTCAAAGGTCACCGGGTGAAAAGAACCAGAAGACAAAAGTATCATTCAATAGAATCGGTTCTTATTAAACGATTGAGCGTCGAGTAAAAAATCCTGAAAATTATTTAATTGAAGGTCATTTAAATTTCAGCATCATGATTTAAATCATGAGACACGTTTTATCAAACATCATGTAAATGTTTCACTGGTTTTACAGACATGAACTGAACCACTGACATGTTCCTCACGTGTTCTTCACGTGTTCCTGACATGTTCCTCACGTGTTCTTCACATGTTCCTGACATGTTCTTCACGTGTTCCTGACATGTTCTTCACGTGTTCCTGACATGTTCCTCATGTGTTCCTCACATGTTCCTGACATGTTCTTCACGTGTTCCTGACATGTTCTTCACGTGTTCCTGACATGTTCCTCATGTGTTCCTCACATGTTCCTGACATGTTCTTCACGTGTTCCTGACATGTTCTTCACGTGTTCCTGACATGTTCTTCATGTGTTCCTGACATGTTCCTCACATGTTCTGCAGCTTCTGTGAGAACACATGTCTGAGTCAGTGTCTCTGGACGTGTTCTGGATCTTCTCCTGCAGCCTCTACTAAAACATCTGGAACCTTCTCAGTGAGTGGGCGTGTCTCTGAGGTTTCTAACACGTGACAGACGTGAAACTGAAGAACACAAACGTCTCAGGATGAAGAAGAGGAGCCGTACACGTAGAAGACGAAGACGTCAACTTGGAAAGACGAGGAGGTTCCAGATGTTTTGGTGATGAGGGCCGACGCCGTGTGGACGAGCTGCGTGGAACTGAACCCATGAACAGGATTTACTACATTAGAAGAAACTTCATGTTTAAAGTATTTATACATGAGAACAGAGATGAAGGAGCAGACACAGGAACTGAGGAGCTGATGGTAGAAGACGTGAGGAGACAAGTTGTCCATGAAGACGTGAGGAGACAAGTTGTCTATGAAGACGTGAGGAGACAAGTTGTTTATGAAGACGTGAGGAGACATGTTGTCCATGAAGACGTGAGGAGACATGTTGTATTGAAGGCGTCTTGTTGTGACCATCAGCTGATCGCTCCAGACGTCTGAGACTCTCCTGCTGACTTGTGACCGTGTGGAAGACAAACTCTGGAGAAAGTCCAGACCAGGTTCTGAGGACGTCCCCCAGAGCTGACGTCTGAACAGCTCAGTGACGCAGCAGAGTCCAGATGTGACGTTAGAGAAGACGAGTGTTTGAGTCCCTCCACAGCTCCCCGTCATCTGTTATTCACCGCTGACATCACAGCTCGCAGGTCCTCCTCCTCCTCCTCCTCCTCCTCCTCCACCGTTTGTCTTCTCTTTTAAGGAGCTGGGCCTGCGACTGCTCCGGACTTGTCACGGTGATTTACCGCACCATTACAGCAGCCGGGTATCAAACACTGGGCTGATAACAAATGCATGGAGAATAAAAATGTGCAGGTGTTTGCACTGGTGGCGTCGTGTGCGTCTCCGGGCGAAAAGTCAGACGCAGTTCCTCCGATCATTTCTCTTCTCCTCCGACGACGCCACCAATCTCTCTCTCCCTCTCTCTCCATCTCTCTTGATGCCATCTCTCTTTTCTGCCTCAATCCTTCACACTTCCTCTCCTCCGCTCTCTCTCTCTCCAAAAGCAAAGTGCATTCTTCATCGTATGATTAAGAGGAAGCAGCGGTTCAAAATGGACCTGGACATCACTGACAAACCACAGCGGAGACACGCTGTCCTCAGGGAGGGACAATAAAACTCTGGAGGCGTCTTATTCAGTGTCGTTACACAAACAGTCTGTGAAACTGAGACGTGAGGGCGATCGAACCTGAACTCTGAATATTTACCTTCAAGAACCAACTGGTGGTTTTCTCTCTGTCTCAGTCGGGTCGGACAGAAAAAGAGACTCAACATGTTTATCTTCAAACCTCCCGAAGGGTTTGTCGATGAAGAAGAAGAAATGATCCCGTCACCAGGGATCTTCACTTCACTTTAAAGTTTAAACGTAAAATCAACCTTTGAACAAACAGGAGTATTAAAGATGAACAGCGATAAACAAGATTTAAAACCTAAAAGATCATTTTAACTCCAGTAAATCAGCACCTGGTTTGAATCAAGTTTCTGGGAGTTGTGTTCTGAAGCCGAGAGGAAACCGGCATCACCAGGTCACATTAGAAACATTAATAAAGACAGACGACCAAGCTGAAGACACCATGTTCATTCTGTCTCCGTGGTTACGCACTTCTGCACAAAGAAAGTTTGAGCTGAAGAGGAGGGTGATGAAGACGAGGGTCACCCTGAGGTCACACTGGAACCAGACGAGTTTAGCGACTGTGATTTAATTCATTGACAAACGTTTTGCTCGTGGACTCGTCCTCTTTCCATTTATGAATGAATGAACACTACGATGGAGGCGTGGTGACACCTCGGTAAAAAGCAGCGGTGATGTGTGGAGGCCGGAGAACGAAGAGGCAGCTCTCAGGCCACAGATCGATGGCGGAGGAGATGGGACTGACGAGCTGGACTCACTGAGCTTGAGACAATCACAGTGTTTTCAACCTGCAGGTCAGAGCTCAGTGGTCCTCACAATCAAACAGCGTCTGCTCCTTCACACTGTTTCGACATCATCACTCTCACTGCACGTCTGAGGAAACCTGACACAACAATGTTTCCATCAACCAGTCCAGAGACAGAGACAGTCCCCCTGCTGTTGACCGTCCCTCACCACAGACAGTAAGATGGAGGACACGGCTCCACTTTCTGTGGAAAGTCACGAATCCCTCCATCACACTGACGTCACGTACAAACTGAGCTCATCAGCAGAAGATCAAAACCTTTCAGACACGACTCTGATGTCTGCAGCGGTCATGACGTCATCGCCACAGGACGATGACGTAAGAATTAAAATAACATCGGCTGGTGGAAAATCCCACAATAAATTCTAAAAGTTTATTTTACTATGAAAAACATGATGAACTTGTTTGTCTCAGCCGTGAGCACAATGCATGATGGGATGTATTGATCGGTTAGTCAACAACGTTTCACGATGCATTGTGGGAAACAGTGATTCTAAAGGGAATTAGAAACTCACTAAACATTCAGACAGAAAGAATAATTCCTCGATTGATTCACCTCCCATCATTCTACAAACTGTTTAACGCTGTCAATCATTTTCTGACGTTCTCAGTTACACGTGGCATCTACTGAACTCGTGTCCGTCCTGAGAGACGGATCCTCACGCCGCTCTCTCAGGTTTCTACGTTCTTTGTCCCCTGTTTTTCTTGTTCAGTTAAGAACAGAACACAAACTGTGATTTGTGAATTCGGGCTGTACGAAGAGAAGCACAGAAGCAGAAGTGATGATGGAGCCGTGGGATCAAGGTCAAAGGTCACAGTGAGCTCTCAAAACATGTCGTCATGATGTCTGCAGAGAACCAGACTTCCAGTACAGTTGAATATTAAAACTCTCATCTGTCTCTGCTGGTTTGTCCTTTTTCTTTTTTTTTTAAAAGACCTCGTATCATGATGAAACCGACAGACGACAGGAGGGAGGGATGAATATAAGAGAGGAGGAAGGAAGGAAGGAAGGAAGGAAAGAAGGAAAGGGCACACCGGGCATCAGGAGTGTGTCTCAAAGGTAAAAACATACTGGATGTTGCTTCTTGGATTGTGGGAGTTTTTCCCAGTGTCCTCCCTCCCTCCATTCATCTCTCTCTCTCTCTCTCTCTCTCGCTCACTGACCATCTGGGAAAGAGGGGATAGTTTTGACGCTGCCAGCTTCCTACACTGGCTGATCGGATCTGAGGGATTTGGAAAGCTTCAAACACAATAAACAGAACAGATGAATGTCTGCCCCTGTACTGGATATGGGGGGGGGGGGCAGGTGTCATCCTCACAGCTCTCTATGAAAACAACAGAATCATCAACCTTTAGGATCTTTATCTTATCTGTGTTTTACATGTGATGTTGTCTCTTGATGAATTGATTTAAAGTTTGTCTTTATTTTGTTGTTATATATTTATTGTGTTTCACTGAGTGAGTCGTGTGATGTTCACGTTCACGTTGTTTCAGTGTGTGGATCAGGTCAAATATCACAGGTCTCAGAGTTGCTGCAGCTTTCTGTGCTTCTCAGTCAAGAGGGGGACTCACATGGAACAAAAATAAAGGAAAGTATTATTGAGTATGTTGGTGTAGTCTGTGCACAGATCCTTGTAAAACTGATCTTCTATCAGTCTTTATCTCCAGGATTAACAGCCGCTGTAAGATCCACTCACTGCATGTGCAGCAGCGGCTGATACATTTTCCTCTGAACTGATTCGTCCTGGAAGTGTTTCGCAGCGTATCATTACAAGACCGCGGAGAGCAAACAGCTGATTCCTGCTGCAGACTGATAAAGACACAGATGTGCTGTCTCTGGCTGATACCAGAGCTGCTCACCTGAATCTCATTGTGACGCCCGGCTGAGCCCGGTGGGGCCGAGCGTCCATCATTTCCTGGATGTTTTCACAGGAGGAGAGGAGGCCTTTAAATTCAGCGTGTGGTGCAGTACACGGAGTAAGTCTGCCCTCTGCTGACTGTTACACAGACACTTCAATGAGCCCAGAGAAATGCAGCTCACACAACAGCATAAGAAGAAGAAAAAGTCAAGAACAGGAACAAGTGATCTGCAGTGAGATGGAAGTGTAGCCACCAGAACTACCACAAAGTCACTGTGAAGAAGTTCAAGGAGACATGTAATGTACATACGTGATAAACACATGTAATAGGGAGAGAATTGACCATCACTGAAGATAAACTGACCCGTGCTGTGATCTTCTCGTGTCCAGATCACTGCACCCAAGGTTTGACTGGATAATCTAAAACAAACATTGTCGCTCTGCAGCTGAAATCCAGCTTCACTTCACAGGATTCATTCAAAACAAGATGGAAACGTCTCTTAGATGCTCAGATCATGTTCCTCTCTGCCTCACACACACACTACTGAACATACGGTGAAGCCGTTAACGATAATTATTCACCGAAGATTTGGAACAAACCGTCACGAGATGTTAGACGTACATCCTCCGCTCATAACTCACTTTTAAATACATTTTATTCTCTTATCATTTCTTGTCCTTATATTTTCTGTTTTTAAGCCTCAGTTGTTCTTCAGCTGCATTTTATGCTTTGAAAGGTGCAAAATAAATGAAATCAGATAAAGTCGGATCACATGTAATCAGATCATGTATCAAAATGTCATGTTTGATAATATCATAGTTGTATTTGGATAGATTATTTTATATCTTTAAAAGATTTTACGTTATTAAACAGATTGAAACAATTATAGTTAACTAATGGAATCATCCGACGTACAGATGTGTTCACGTAGAATACACATACGTTTGTTTTTAGACAATTTAATTCAATGTAAGTGCCGAATTTACAAAATGCATTTTATTCACATTAGAACATTTATTTCAGGACCAAAGCGAGAATTAACGAAGGTGTGAATTATTACTGTGTAATACTCAGTGTTTTATAGTAAATGGGAAGTTTTTAATTCACACTCCGGAGCTCAAGGTGGCGCTGTCGAGTCCCCGCCCACAGGAGGCAGCTGGCCCTTTAAGACTCCCTCCGTTGCCTTGGTTACATTAGCATTAGCATGTCAACATCTCCAGGCTCCTCCGTCGCTCTCTCCCCGGTCTCCTGGACGGTAACCCACCGAGTCTCCTCCGTGATAAACTCAGGTCAGAACCGGACCAACACTCGGTCAGAACCGGTTTATCAGGTTTTATTTCACCGATAACCGGGGACCTGCCCGTTAGCTGCGCTGCTAACTGCACTGCTAACTGCACAGTTAGCTTTGGATGCTAACGTCACGGTGACTACAGATGTTTAGCATCAAGAATCAGCTCCGTTATAAAAACTGGAATTCAAATATCTGTGTGACGCTCCGTGATGCTAACACGATGCTAACACGAACATAAACTGGAAACACTGAGATCAGTTGGATGGTTGACATCGAGCTCAGTAAACTGGGTTGAAATGTAAATGATGGATCCTCTCTAACACACTTTGATATGAATTGTACAACATGGCGACTTTAACGATGCCATCAGCGATCAAGGAGTAAAACTACTGTAACTGAGCGTCGTGTTCATCTGACTGATTCATCATCCAACACTGTTGCTGTAAACTATAATGATATGATGTAATAAACCATGACATAACAGGTCAACACTGACCAGCAGGTCCAGGTCCAAACCTTCTGTAATGTGAGGACAGCTTGAACTACTGCAACGCTCCCACATGTCCACCATCTGTTTAACATGAGAAAATGAACTTCACACTAACGTAGTAGGACAGAGAGCAGCCATGAATGTCCAACTTACTCCAGTCACACTGAAATACAATGTGAACCATGAGGGAAACACTCCACACAGTGTGGAAGTACACTCAGTATGATCCAGACAGAGAACCAGCCCTGACGCTTCCAGTAGCATCCAAACAGTTTTTCACTCAGTTTAAATAATGTGACTCCTTGTTGGTTTGCAGAAGATGAGCGGCAGCACTGACGAGGTCCAGGCCGTGACCTGCACCATCAAACCTCCGGTCTACCTGCAGATCGGAGAAACCCCAGCAGATGCAGCTCACTCTGGGATCTGTGTGGTGGACGTCTCCCTCCCATTTGGAAAACCCGTCCGTGTGAGTCACGTCTTCCTGTTCTCAGTCTGTTCCCGTGTGAACAGTTCATGCTCAGTGGAAGACGTCATCCTCTGCTCAGGACCACATCAGAAACTGGCTGCAGCATTAATGTATAAAATCTCTGGTATATAACCTTTAGATATCAAACTACATCCCAGTCATGAGACACTTCAAACATTCTGGGCACTGACCTACTTCTTAGCACTGAGTCTTCATTAAAATCAGTTTTAATGCAGAGTGACTCCTCATTAGTCGAAAACTTCAAAGACGTGGGCCTGCAGCCACTTTATCCATGAAGGAATTATCTCCAGCAGACTTTTCATGCTTCTCACTTCAGCTTCTCACGTGAAGACTGAGAATCAGCAAACTCACTGTTCCTCAAACAATACGTTCACACTCAGGGTGGACTGGTGGCAGCTTTCCTCTGGACTCCACTTTGGGTTCATGATTTATTGTTAAAGTCTTTATCTGTAACTTCCAGTTCATCCGGCTGGTCAACAGAGATCTTCTTTATTTATGTCTTCATTTTGGGATGATGCTAAGAAGCAAATTATTTCCCTGCTACTATGAATTCGATCATATCATCAGATCACGTCTCCAAGGTTTTTAATCTTCGTCTGGACATGATACTGCTCGTACCTTGTGATTGGTTTTTAATGCACGGTCACTTCCTGTCTTTCAGATTGAGGAAATCACCTTTAAGAATTACTACACAGCCTCTGTGAGTGTGCGCTTGTTGAGGAGGGGCCCCGGACAGGAGGCCCCCGCCAAGTGGTGCACGGCTCTGAGAGACCTGTCGCTAATGAACAACCCCCACACCGAGGGGGGCTCCCAAGACTACTATTCCATCCACAGGACTCAGGTGGGCTGCAGATTGTGTGTAGGTTTCCTCTGTAATTTTATGCCCTGCAGCAGAACTCAGACGTTTCTTCTTCCGAAGTGTTTCAGCGTTATAAACGTCTGAATAAATCCATGTCCCATCTGCTTACATGGAGGATATGGAAGATATACTGCCACCAGCCACCAGGGGTCAATAGAGGACCTTTGACTTCACTTTTTGAGAGCTGTCATGTCGTCCATCTTTATTTAGTCCATGATTCTAGAAAAGGTGAAGTTAATGGTTCAGTTCATTTTCAGTTGAATTGTTCTCATGGTCATGAAAAACCTGGAAAGTCATGAAATGTGAAACAAAGTGCAACATAAACTGAGGCTTCTTCATTTCACTCCTTCCAGACGTCTTCACACTTTCTTTATCCTTCTTTCATTTATTCCTCATCTGAACAGATGATGGTGGAGCCTGATCATGTGGTGTCTGTGCGACTGATCCTGAGACAGCCGTCTTCCGCCTGGTTGACCTTCAGCCTTGAAGACATCAAAATATTCCCCCACACGGAGCCGGTCAGTTTTCATTTGAGTTTGTTTATATTCACAGCTGACTCAGTGAAGCAGAATGATTTAACTGATGAGGTTTAAATGCAACGGACAGAAAAGCTTAGGTATAATATTCTGTTTGATTTGTTGTGTAATTATGATCCGAGCTTCGATTGTATTTTTGCCAACTTAAATCCAACTCAGTGATTCTCCAGACAAAGAGTCAAAGAGACGTCAGGTCCTACAGGACGTTTTCTCACCTGCAAGGCTGCGGTTTAGGGAGAGCTGGAGCTGGTAGTGGGGAGCCTGGAGCTTTAGGCTGAGGCTGGAGCGATGGGGGTAAAGGTGGCAGGTCCAGATGTTTGTCCAAGGTAAGGGGTGTAAAGCAGGGTTCCAGGAAAGGAGGTGAGTAGCTAGGTGAGGAGGCAAAGAGCAGGGACCGGAGCAAGAACAGGAGGAGCTGGAAGGGAAATGGAGAACAGGATGAGATCAGGCAACAAGGGCTAAATTCTCAATAGCAAACACAATAAATGGCTGAAAGTGTAGCAACACTAACTGGTAGCAGAGACAACGATCTGGCAGCGTGGAGGTGGTCAGGAGGAGGTGGTGGTCAGGAGGAGTATGTGTAGATGCTTGATGACAGATGAGGTGCAGCTGGTGAGGCTCTGCTCTGACTCCGGTGCACCTGCAGACAATCACACACAGGAAGAACCACTCAGGGAGTGGTAGCAGGTCAGCAGTACCCACAACTAGAGGTAGAGGGCAGAAGCAGTTCGAGGGGCAGATGTAACATCTCACTCTGGAAATTTAGAAAAATAGCATCTTTGAATTATTGTGATGGTTTTAAGTTTTTCTTTGTCAAACATTGAAATTAATTCAGGTGAAAACCAGATGAGTTCATACATCTGTTGTACTGATGTTGTACTGTTGTTGTACTGATGTTGTACTGATGTTGTACTGTTGTTGTACTGATGTTGTACTGATGTTGTACTGTTGTTGTACTGATGTTGTACTGATGTTGTTCTGTTGTTGTACTGATGTGGTACTGATGTTGTACTGATGTTGTACTGCTGTTGTTCTGTTGTGGTACTGATGTKGTACTGATGTTGTACTGATGTTGTACTGATGTGGTACTGATGTGGTACTGATGTTGTACTGATGTTGTTCTGATGTTGTACTGATGTGGTACTGCTGTTGTACTGATGTGGTACTGATGTTGTACTGATGTGGTACTGATGCGACCAACAGATGGAGCCAAAGCGAAGACATTTCAAATCCCATAAATATTCAGTTCAACAAACAACAATCTGAAATCAGGGTAACTGATGAAATGATTCCACCGTGGTTTCGGCTGTAGACTCATTTTCTTTCTCCTTCCAGGACCCAGAGAAGGAGGTTTCTGATTGGCTGTCTGACCTGACCCTGGCCGACCAACACTCCGACCTGGAGGTAGTTGTTTTGGTTTGTTTGAGTCAGTCAAGGTTATTGTTGAGGATTCTGGAGAAAAATGTCGAGACACTTAACATTTAATGTCGAGTTAAACTTTTGTTCTCCTGCTTGCAGCACAGTGTCTTCCTCTGACCAGCACCTGTCTTCCTGTTTGTCCTCCTGTCCGTCTTCCTGTCTGTCTCTCAGGGCCTCCCCGACCCTCAGACCGTCTCATCAAGCATCCAGCAGATGTGGGCTCTGACTGAGGTGATGCAGACCAATCAGACGACAGCGTGCATTGGACGATTTGATGTAAGATCTTCGACTCAGTGTCAGACTCGTCTGATGAGGAACATTAACACAAAACGTCTTTATCGTGTCAGTCAAAGAAACAAGTCATTTATTATTTCATGAGCAACGTGCACTTCCGGTGGACGACTGAATTCATTCAGATCAGCGCTGTCGGCTGTGTGATCGCTGCTTCACACAGAGGATGAAGATGTAGCTCCTCGTGGTCTCGTCTCTCAGAATCTGTGTGTTCACAGCTTGAAAAGAAATTAATCAAATCATGTGTTTCTGTCTCCAGGTGGACGGATGCTACGATATCAACCTGCTCTCTCTGACGTAACGTCGTCATCGAGCTCTCGCCTGCATGGGAAGTTCACTTTATGGAAAACAACAGTTATAGAAGGAATAACTTTGAAGACGTATAAAAACTACTGTGTAATGGAGAACACCTTCAGAGAGAAACAAGAAGTTTCATGTTGTATGTTACACTGATGAGAAGAATCAGACATCTGCTTTGTTCTATTCATTTAACTCTGATGTTAAAATACATGTTTACTGTGAAATGACGTCCTGTATGTTCTGATCATAACACTCAACACTTACTTTGGAAAGAGGAGCGTGTTAAACATAACTCATTTCTTTTTCATTATTTTCAGTGTTTGTATTAACTGTAATTATTTATCGAAGTGAGTAAACCTCAGTGAGAAACCCAGCTGTCGTCCTGCAGCGTGTCTGTAATCTTCTCATAAAAAGTAATCTGATTACTGCCACTGACTCACTCCCTGGACTCCGTTTGCATTTGTTGACATGTACAGAGGTTTTACTGAGTCTCATGGTGAAAATATGAACTTCTGAAAATAGACTTTATATTTTCATTTCTGGTTCAAGTCTGAATTCAAAGACTAGTGACTCGTGCGGACAGCCTGTGTAAGTACTGCAGTGAGAATCTGTTCCTTTCCTTGTTGCTCTCCTGGGCTGAAGCCTGTTGTGACCTCGGGTCAACACCGTCACTGCTTCAGCTGCTGATGACGACACACTTTAGTTTTCACACTGTGGATATCAATTCAATAAGCTTTATTGGCATGACTGTGTATCACAATATTGCCAAAGCGTTAAAATAATAAAATTATATAAAACTATGTATTAGATATCTCTCTCTCTCTCTGGCTTCACCACTCACTCTCTTACACACGGAAGCACTGGCCCTTTCTTAAAGGAGCCGCTACACAACAAATACTGAGCAGTGTGTGTGTGTGTGTGTGTGTGTGTGTGTGTGTGT